CATTAGGTGGCAAAGTTACAAAAGAGGTATGAACAAGTAATCCAATTAATTTCGATCATTTACGAATTTTTGGTTGTCCTACTTATGTGCATGTACTTGGAGATGAAAGATTAAAAGTTGATGCAAAATCTAAGAAGTGCATCTTTCTGGGCTATAAGAAAGGTGTGAAATGATACAATTTTTGGGATTCAATTGCAAACAAGACGGTGATTAGTAAAGATACAGTTTTTGATCAACGGTTTATGTTGCAGCAGAATCAAGAGAAGGTGCTAAAGAACAGTTTCAGTTCAGATGCAGTGCAGATGAATTTAGAATAACATCCAGGAACAATTGAGAGAGTTGAAAGTTCAAATCTAACACTTGGTGATTCCATTCCAGATGATCTGCAAAATTACAATCTAGTCAGAGACAAACAGAGACACACCAATATAAGACCTCCTAGCATATTGGGTTATAAAGACTTGGTCTGTTGTGCACTTCTCATCAACAACGTGATCTAGTTACTTTTCAAGGAGCTATCACCAGTCAAGAGAAAAAGAAATAGATGGGTGCAATGGTTGAGGAGATGAAGTCTTTGCAAAAAAATCGCACATGGGAGCTAGTTGAGCTTGCTGAGAGAAAAAAGACTATTGGGTGCAAGTGGGCGTACAAAAGGAAACTAATAGTATTAGAAAAAAAAAAGGAAAAGTTCAAGACTCACTGGTAGTAAAGAGATTTTCACAATAGAAGGGGAAAAATTATGATGAAATCTTTTCTCCTGTGGTCAGACATACTTCAATCAGGGCAGTGCTTGCATTAGTAACTATTTGAGATTTGCATATGGAGTAGATGGATGTTAAAACTGCATTATTGCATGATGATATGGAGAAGCGGATTTACATGGAGCAACCAGAAGGGTTCACTCAACCTGGACAGGAGCATTTGGTTTGCAGATTAAAGAAATTGTTGTATGGGTTGAAATAGTCTCCAAGACAATGGTACAAGCGTTTCGATGGCTATAAGCGATGTGAGTAGTTTATGTGAAGAGTCTTGATGATCATTCTATTATTTTTCTGTTACTGTATGTTGACGATATACTAATTACTGCAAAGAATATGAATGATGTCCGTGGTTTGAAAGCTTTATTGAGCCATGAATTTGACATGAAAGACTTGGGTTCTACGAAGAAGATCCTTGGAATGAAGATTTATCGAGATAGAGGCTCAAGACGATTATGTTTATCTCAACGAGACTATGTTGAGAAAGTGCTAGACAGATTTGAGATAAACAAAACAAAACTTGTGAGTACTCCTTTGGCAAATCATTTTAACCTTTCTTCAGAATGGTGTTCGAAGACAGATAGGGAAATCGAAGACATGAAAAATGTTTCATATGTCAATGTAGTTGGCTGCTTGATGTATGTAATGATATGTATTCATCCTGATTTGACTTATGCTGTTAGTCAAGTCTGCTAATACATGTCTAAACCTGCAAGGCGATATTTGGAAGCAGTGAAGTGGGTTTTCAGGTATCGGAAAGGTACTGTAGGTTATAGAATTATTTTTGGCAGTTAGCAGAATGATCCTTCAGTTGTAAGGTACGTTGATTCAGACTATGCAAGTGATTTGGATGACAGAAGGTCTACAATTGGGTTTGTGTTTACTCTTGGTGGAGGGCCTATATGTTGGAAATCAACAATTCAGTCTATTGTGACATTATCTATAACTGAAGCTGATTAAATGGCAGTAGCTAAAGCTACAAAAAAAGCCTTATGGTTTGCTGGGCTAGTAATGGAACTGGGCGTTGAGCAAGATGGAGTTCAGTTGCATTGTGACAATCAAAGTGCTATTTATCTGACTAAGAACTAGGTGTACCATGGGAGAAACAAGCATATTGATGTCACGTATCAAAAGATCAGAGAATTGATTACTTCTGGTGAGATATTGTTGCAGAAGATTCATACTAATGAAAATGCAGCTGATATGTTGACTAAGTCAGTTACTATCAACAAGTTCTTGCATTGCTTAGACTTGTTGAAAGTTTGCAGTTGCTAGAGAAGCATGGTGACCCAACCCACTTCAGTGTGTAAGAAACTTCATGATGTATTTCTCCTAAGGGGCTAGATATTCGCCAAGGTGGAGATTTGTTAGGTATGACTCATATACCATATAAGGGACAGATACTGGAGCGGAGCGGAAGAATCCGTCCAATCGATGAAGTTTCGTTACGTGGGTTGGGGGTGCGGGGGCAATGGCCCCGCGGTACGATACAGAGGTAATTTTGTAATTACATATTGTATTTCAGGGTTTACTCCAGAGCTATATATATGCTTGTTTGTAACCCTTTGGTGTATCTCATATTATGTATTCTTTTCTGAAATTGAAAGGAAGTCGTCGCTCTGCTCTCCCAAGAATGTAGTCATCTTTGTCGAACCTCATTAAATCTTTGTATGTTCTTCTGGATTTGCGTCGATTCTTGTTTTTCTTCACCCTAATTTCTCAACAATTTGGCTCATAACAGATTTAGATTTAATGTGGCCTTTGCAATTACTATGATAGTCAATTCATGCATTCTCCTCATGAAGAACACATGAATACTATTACTAGGATTTGCAAATCCCTAAAAGCAGGCATTAAAATAAGGCTTCTCTTAAAGAAAAGAGAGTCCATTGTTAATCAAGTTTATACTGTTGTTGATTTGGATGGGTCGATAGAAGATGGAAAATTTATTTTACGATCTTGTACATATCTGTGGAGCAGTCTTCTAACTTCAAGTAAAAATTAAAATGTTATGGCAAATAGTAGTGCAAAGTAGAATTCAGATCATTTGCTGCTTGGATAAGTGAATTAATTTGATTTTAAGCTACTTCTAACAGAACTTTAACTATCATGACTCTTTTGATAGTACATTTTGACAACAAACCTGTTATTAGTGTAGCTTATTACTCTTTCTATCATGATCACGCCGAACATATAGAGATAGCTCAATATTTTATCGAATTTTAAATAAAAAATATTTGTGTGCTTTATATATTCCTTCAATTATGCTGCAAGCATCATGACAAAAAGATTGCTAGATCCTTGATCGAAAAAATGATTGATAAGCTAGGTTTGGTGGATGTTCACAACCCCCCTTGAGGAAGAGGATGAGGAGGGAGGGAATGAGGGGGTTATATTCTAGTTGCCATTCCTTTTAGATAAACATTATTTTCTTATTTGGGCACATGTATGTCGGCAACCTTCATTCTTGTTAAGTGAGCTGATGGGTCCTAATGTTCTTAATACTTGACATGCTCCTTAGATGGTAAGACATGTACAATATCTGCTGGCCAGCAACAGGAGGGTCCCCCGATGGCTGGATCCATGGACTGAAGCCATGGATTGATGACTTTATAAGGATGAATGACCTATGGGTTTGCATGTTCTTGGCTGATTTGGTACACAACTATGAACTGTCTATTCTATCTATCAAATATATTCAATATGTTTTAAGAGAAAAATTGTATTAATTATGTATTATTTCTTATTAGTATATGTATTATTTCTTCCTTGTTTACACATCTTAAAACTCTTTGTTAAGCTAAGTTTCTGTTTAATAATAGCATGGATTTTTCCTTCATGGATTACTCCTTTTCTTCCCTCTATTTATGTTCTACTTCTTTTTGACAGTGATCATATAAACATGCTTGCTAGATATATTTGAAGTATGCTCTATTGTTGTATGTTACTTGTAGGTGGTATGGTTCTAATAGATAATAAAATTGTTGAAACAAGTAAAAGTCAAGTGAGGATTAATAGAAGCGAGGATATGATATGCGAAATTATTGGTATTAAATCTAATAATTATTAGTCCATATTGTCGCAACAGCAATTGATATGCTTATGTATCTTGATCAATTATATGAGAGGTGATATGGATAAAGAATGCTGAATCTGGGTTTCTTAAAGTGGAGGAGTGTTTCAAGAATGCTGTACGATAAGAGCTCATTATAGGGATCTAAAGAATAAATTTATAAAAGTTTAATTTTACAAGATATGTTGTATGGATCAAAATGTGGAGTATATAGAAACTATTGGTAGCCAAGTTGAGTGTGAAATGAAGATAGATTGATAAATGATTATATTTCTACGATACTAAGTTTAGAACTTTTAAATATATGATAGTGAAAAGTAAATGTAGCAGGTTTTCACACCAAGGAAATAGATTATAAATGTGGAAGTATTAGTAAGGAAAAAGGTTGATCGATTCAATAAAAATTATTTGAGAATGAAGATTTATTAAGCTGATCAATGTTGTTAAGATACCATGAGTGTTGTTAATCGGTGCAATCTGTTATCTGTATGAGTTGAGTCAATGATTATTATTTTTTTATTCTATTATACAAATTAATTACCTTATTGCAACATCTGCTTGTAGAAAAAAAATTACATGAAAGATAATGAGAATTTCCAAATTCTCTGCTTAACATCTATAGTTTTATTTAAAATCCTTGTATTAGGACTCCCACCTTCTCTTCTTACCCAGTAATAGATTAGGAAAATAGAATGTCACCAAGTTAAAAAATTCCAAGCACTGATACAAAAGTTATGCATAAACTTGATTTTCATGGATATTCTAAAACCTAAACTGGTTATATGATATTCGAAGTTCATAATGTGCTTTCTTTGTTAACTCATGAAAAAGACATTTGAGGCTAGCAACTTAAACACAAAGCTCTAGAAACGCGGATATTGTTTCTTTTTGAAATGGCACCGATAGTCTTCAGCTTCAATATGCTCTATTGGATATGAAAAAAATTGGCAGTTGGCCTGTGAAATAAAGTAGGTGGTTTGCTTTTAAGGATTGCAGTGAACTTCTTAATGACTTTGTGGAATTCCATCATCTTGGACATATCCTTTTGTCTATAATCTCTCTCAAAATATTCTTTTTAACTATTTTATATTTTTCTTCCCATTAAAAAACAACAATCTGGCACACGGATTCTATCAATTATTAACAGCATTTTCATCTTTCCTGCAAAGGTCTCGAGTGCTTTCAAGCCAGTAACTGGGCTGCGGCTGTACCTCGAGGGATCAAAATGCAACCAGCTAGCCTTACACATACAGCACCTTTCAAGCCTCCCAAGCATGTTTGCATCAGCCACTTCCTCCAGACTTTCCAAGTGGCAATCATCAGAAGACTCGGCCCCGGAATTTATCGAACCAATTCAGTGGAAGAGCTACTCCAGCATCTGCACTGCTGCTGTAAAACACAACCCCAAGTGGTTCGAAATAGTTTCTGAGGGCGCCTTTGTCGTCACCGGTGCTCAGCTCGTGACAAAGGACAAATGGTTGAAGAAATCCCTCCACCTTCGTCTTCTCTTCACTCACATCCCTAACTGCACCATCCAAAAGACCGAATGGGCTCAAATTCCAGCAAATTCACATAAAGGAAGCTTTTTCTCAAATATCAGCACGACATTTAGTTCGACATTCACCGGCCATCAAAACCTGTCCGTAAAACAGGAGCCTTCCACGCTAAATTCTGGTGTTTTTCCTGATGTTCCGCCTGCACCAATACAATCGAAGAAGCTGCTGAGATTTGTCGACACGTCTGAGATTGTTCGAGGTCCAAATAATGTGCCTGGCCATTGGCTAGTTACTGCAGCAAAGCTAGTCAAGGAAGGGGGAAAGATAGGCTTACACGTCAAGTTCGCATTGTTAAATTTTTCTGACCAGTGATAGGGATTCCTTTTGTAAAGTATCAGGATTTTCTAGTGCTTGTATATTGAGATATCAGTGATTGTTAAGGAAATTAGGCCCATTTATATGTATGGCGTAATTTTCTTTCTTTTTTTTTTTTTTTTTTTTTTTTCCATGTAAAGAACTGAAGAGCAGATTGCAGCATCCGACTATCTTATGATTTACCTCCGTGCTTGTACAGGAACAAATGTTATATTTAAGTCTGTTTAAGGCTATATAGCCTGTTTTTGTAAGAAATGTGAGGGTTATGTTGGTTGCATATTCCAGTTTCAGAAGTGATCACTTTGAAATTTTTTTAGACTTTCTCCTATTTCAAAATTATGTAATGTAAACTTATTTTGAAGATCATTAATTAGCTATTAAATATGCAAGTATTAATGTTGATGGCATGAGATGCATATTGTGATAGATTAAGGGTGTGCAGCCTAAATATGCAAGTATTAATGTTGATGGCGTGAGATGCATATTGTGATAGATTAAGGGTGTGCAGCTTATTGGATAATCTGTTGATAAGTTGATTAAAAATAATCTGTTGATAAGTTAGGTGTGGTCGTTATTATAAAATTTTATTATTTTGAAAAGTCAGAACACTGACAAAAAGCTGCCACCACACTTATCTGATGTACCTATCTGGTGTGAAAATGCTGTCAAAACGTATAAAATTTTATCATTTTGAAAAGTCATACCGCTGCCAAAAAGCTGCCACCACACCTATTTGGTGTACCTATCTGGTGTGAAAATGCTGTCAAAACGT